GGGCTCGGGGTCGCCGCGGGCAGCACGATGGCCCGCCATGGGCTCGGGGTCGCCGCGGGCAGCACGATGGCCCGCCATGGGCTCGGGGTCGCCGCGGGCAGCACGCTGGCCCGCCATCGCCAGGCACTTCCTCTTCCTGCCGCCGCCGCCGCGACTTCCTGCCCCTGAGGCACCTGTTTCCTCTGCTTTCGGGACTGAGGTTAGGGCTCCGGCCATGTGACGATGGGGACCGTGGCCGGAGGAGATGTTGGTGGCACCCCACTCGGCTCGCTCCAGGCAAAAGCTTTTAAGAGAATTAAATGGGTTTCATGACCTCTTCCTGGTTTTATTGCTATTTCCATTTTTCTGATGACCCGCTTCCCACTCAAGGCTCCCAGCAGCTTGCCTGCCTCTGCGCAGACCCCCCACGCTCCCCACAGCCCCCGATGAGGATCAGATCTTGATGCTCAGAGGTGCAAAAACTTCCCCAGATCGACCACCTGGCAAGTGGCCGAGCTAGGATGTGATTCCGATTTGATCTGATCCCACGGCACACAGACTGCTCTTCGCGGAGTAGTTACCACCTCACCAGGAATGCTGGGTTCTAATATAAGGATGATTTAACCCTATCGGTAGAATTTTCAGCATCATTCCTAGCCATTGGGGTAAATATCTCCACCGGGGGTTTTTCTGGCACTTTCAAGTTATGTCACGTATGCCTACTTAAATGACGTTTTTAAACGCTGAATGGTTATAACTAAGGACGATAGATAGTTTATCGCCAATAATCTTTTTATGTGGCACGTTGAAGTGACAGATATTCTTACTTGATTCTTTCAGTAACGTGTGGCTTCTTGGGACTTTAGAGTAGAAGTTATTGTGATATTATTCCAAGTGAAACACGATGCTGGCAAGAGAAATAGAGAGAAATACATGGATTAAAAATACGTGCTGCAGGTGTCAGGGACGGGGAGGCACGGGGGTCGCAAAGGGAAAATGCGTAGATACCCAGAAAAGCAGGTGGCGTGGTGGGCGCTGGAGACAGATCCATTCAAGACCCCCTCATCCCTGTCCACGTCATTTTCCTGTGCCTCTGCAGTCAGAAGTTCCCAGAGTAGCTGGCAGCTAGAACTCTTCGGGTGACGTAGATTCTGCCAAGGCGTTGCAGCCATGTGTGGCATGTGACGACAGGCACAAGCCAGACAGTGAGGGGCACTTACGTGCAGGAGGGGTCCCCTGGCAGACACCGTGTCCAGGTCGCTGGTCCTGCTGGAGCGTTTGTGGCAGAAGCTCCAGGTCTCAGTCCCTCAGTCGTGGGTGCTGAGTGCTGGGCCAGGGCTGTGTACTCTCTCGTTCAGGGTCATCTCCCGGCTCTGCGCGGTCATTGCGGTGAACACCCCGTCCTCCCCCGCGGCCCGCCAGGCTTCGTGGAGACTTAGGAACTAACTACCAACACCCACTTTCGCTTACGCCAGCTGGAGAGCTCTGTTGTCCTCTGCAAAGAGGAGTCGGGACCAGCCCTGCTATCCCAAAGCCAGGAAGAGACGATGCTTCAAGCCGGCTAACTGTGGTTAGCACCGTCGGGAAGTGCGCATTTATGAAATTTAGCGATATATATTATACTTCACTGTGACTCTAGCAAAAGCATGATTTTTTGTTGTTTTTTGGCGGGGGAGGGGGGCGGCGGGGAGTAGAAATCAGTTACAATAAGTATGGAAGAGTGAGTAGGTAGGACGTGAAGACAGCTCACATAGATATCTCTGCTGACGACTCAACTGTTACACCAACGACAGGATCAAGGTCAAGGGTTCTTTTTTTTTAAAGACAAGCAGTATTGGAGCGTGTTCGGTTGCTGACGGGAAGTATGCAGTAGAGACGGGACGAGGGGCAGGTCTGGGAGACCGTGGGTCAGTCGCGTGACTTCTCGGTGCCTTAGTCTCCTCACTAGGATAATAAGATCGTCCTCTTAGGATTTGCGGGATTGGAGTGAAATGGCGTGTACGGAGACATCTTTACGCAGTGCCTTGCACGTAGTAGGGGCTCGATAAAGGTAGCCGTTGTTATTACGGCCACTATCAGCATCGTTATTGTCTTCCATACGCTTCTGAGTGTTGCGAGTGCGCTGTCGCCATCAGTCCTGTCTCCCGATTTTACAGGTCTTCCCTGCGGCTCTAACGTTCTGGACCCATCACCGTCATCCTCACCAAATAACATTAGTCAAGGAAACACTTGTCAAGCGCCCAGTCCGTGCCTCGCATGCACACGTCAGGCGTCTGGGACACAGACCTGAGCAAAACCTGCTTCCACGTAGCATCTGGACCACTAGAGGGAAAAGCACAAATATTTTATACCGAGATCTGTATTTCGTCAGTCGGGGTTCTAGGAGGAGCAGAGCCACGAGGAGGTATGTGTGGGTGTGGGTGCGCCGTACTTATTTATTTATTCATTTTTGCATTCACGCGCCCACACACACACGTATTTGTGTGTTTATTATAGCTGGCCGAGCAAGCCTGAATCCGCAGGCAGCAGGGCGTGAAGGAAGGCCCGGGAATGGCCTGACACCCACGGGCACCCTTTTATCTTCATGTCCCCCCATACTCATCTATCGCTGGTTAGCCCGGTCTGCTGTCGATCATCAACATTCTCGGGCGTTGGTGAGGGAGACCGTTCTCCCTCAGATCCTTATCTACTCTCTTATACGCCAGTTGGACCTTTATGGTAAAGAATTAAATTTACGATAAACAAATACACCAATCTATTCCCGTGTGTGCAGTTTAATTTCTCGAATTCACTCTAGCTGCATGGATTAACAGATTTTATTTAGTCATCTGTGCAGCTAGGGAAAGTAATTGGCTCTCTGCATTAAGTGCACAACCCAAGCCAACATGCGAATTCATTAGTTTTCAGCTTTAGTTTTTCATTTCACCTGCTGTTTACCACTCAAAGGAAAGATAAATTGTATTTTAAATGAAATGCATGTTTCAGGAAGAACCCTTAGCAACCAATATTCTTTTTTATTTAAAATCTACTTCTTAATCTGCTCTGAAAATTAAAGAAGTGGGTTGGATCGTGGCAACCACGGATGAATTCGAAAAGCCATGTCTGTAATTCTTACGAGTTGCTATAGCCAAAGGAATTCAAGGCACTGGGTTAGTTAGTCCAACTCTCTTTGTTGCAAGAGGTTGAAATCAGCTCAGGTGTTAAAAACAGAAAGGTGGGGTGACGTGGGGGGGCACTGTGATTGTGAGACGGAAGGTCAAGGTGTCCAGGCACAGAGTGGCCTGTGCTGTGCTCCCAGGCGTGGACGAGGACCGCAAGTGTCTGTGTGTGTGTGTGTGTGTGGAGGGGGGTGCTCTCAGACCCCCGTCTGTCTGGAGACCCTCCTGCCCCCATTCCCGTTTCTCCCCAGAGTCTGCTTCGCCCTCCTGCTCCTCGGTCTGTCCTGGTTCCCTCCATTTTCTCAGGCGCATGTGGCCTGGCTTGGTCACCCATGCTGTCACTTCCAGCCACCAGCACTAACTGACATCAATTCCTGGGCCTCCCAGATCAGATTCTGGAGAGAAAGGATCCCCTTGGCCCTGTTCGTGCCCAGAGAATTTGTGCAATATTCTCTCCGAGAACCGATTTGCCCTTTTATTAGGATGAATCAGAACTACCTTCTCCAACTCACCAAAAAGTTCTCTGCTCACCACTGTGGTGTGGTTGGAGCAGACACGTTTTAAAGTCTGGTTCGACTCTCAGGTCAATGGCAAAGAAATATGTAACTCATGAAGAAGCAAGGCCAGCAAGGGTCTGCGGAGAGGTGGCAGTGGAGGGAGCATGCAGGGGGAGGAGGGAGGAGAGAGGGGCCAGGTCAAGTGGGGCTTTGGAGGCCACTGCAAGGACTTTGGCTTTAGTCTGATGGCAGTGGGGAGCGCGGGAGGCTCTGGGCCGGAGAGGGGCAGGATCTGTGCCTGGTTTTAGGTGGCAAAGCTGCTCTGACTGAGGAGGAACCAGGTGGAGAAGGCAGTGTGAGGATGGAGACAGGGATCCAGGGAGGAGATGTACGAATCCAGCAAGCGATGATGGCAGCTTGACCAAGGTGGCAGCTGTGGACGGAGGTAGCGAAAAGCGACTGGATTCTGTGTATACTGGAGATAAAATCCATAAGATTTTCACACAGATTGGATGTGATTGGTCGAGTTAAACTTTGATTTATATAAAACAAATGGAATGCTAATTACTGTGACAAGTTCAAAATTCTCTATGCTGAAGTTAACCCCCAACACGCCGGCCTACATGGATACTGACTCCCCTCTGTCCTTACGTTTGGCTGGGAAAAATGCACAGAAACTTTGCCGAGCTTGAATTGGATGTTGGGAGTTTACGGCAATGAATGCTTCCATTCAGGGCTTTTTGGAGACGATTTAAAATGACCCAAGCCGTGCCTTCTCCTTGCCTAATGTGAATAGAAGGCTTGAGTCTTCAGCCAAGTCGTTTCCACCCAGAGTTTTGCAATCACTTTCCATCCAAAATGTGCAGCTGATTAATCGGTCATCAGTCAAAGCCAGGTCACGCCTTGTGGAACGTAAAATTGCCAAGATCTCAGGTTAAAGCTTGCCGTGGCGAACCCATCAGCACCCCTTGCCGTGGCGAACCCATCATTAACAGCACCCCTTCCGGGGCGTGGACTTGTGTGGTCGGCGGGCCTGGTGCCGGAACTTGACACAGGGTTTCAAGTCGGTCCTGCCCCAAGCTCACGCCACCAAACCTGGTCCAATTTTCGTCAGCCCATTGTTCTGTCTCGGTCTAGAGAACTAATACACCTGAGGATAAAGCAGTCAAAACAACAAGAACAACGAACACCAACACTTCGCTGGATTCAGAGGGCTAAGGGAATAATCTGACCAAGGGCTAGCGAGTGGAAGCCGAAGTTTTTGGTGTTTCTACTACAGCTTTTCGTCATGACTGGGAAGATCTGCCACCCCCTTGCTTTCCTGCGTACCCTGCGTGGGGTTTGAGGACTTTAGCCGAAGTGAGGAGCAGAGTCCTGTCGGCCACTTTTGGACATAGCTCCTCGACGGACTTGAGACTCCGACCCTGCTCTGAGCGTGAGCGTGACCCTCAGCGGTGATATTTTAAATTAGTAAAAAAATCAATTGTTCCTATTACCGATAGAACCTTTTCTTCTTTCGTAATGTGCTTTAACGTCTGGGGTCTGAATACGTGCTCCACGCTGCGGTCGATACGTCATCGGCATCAGTCACTACATACGTGATTTATGTGTTTCGAAAGCAAGTTTTTAAAACGAATCCTGATGTGGGAAACGCCGTCTGAAGTAGGAGAGCTTCTCTCATAAGGCCGTCAGGTGGGGCTGCGTGGTGTCCCCCGCAAACAGGAGCCAGGGGGCTGCCCGGCCCAGCAGGCCATTCACTGCCCTCCGGCGGCTCACTCTCCAAGGGACGTTTTTGCTGTGGCCCGCATTTCATTCTCTTTTCCAGAATTTGTCTACTACTTTCTTACTATACGGAAAGCCCCAGAAGGCAAATGGGTTGGCTTCCTGCAGGTTATTCCTGGAAATTCAGTTAATCTCCAGAGCCAACTCCTCACATCGTATTGGTTTGAGATGAGTAAGTGAGGACAGCTTCCAAGAGTGAGTGCTGACACATGCGTTTTGGCACCTTATTACTGTGCATCCACGGGGAGGGAGTTGGGATTCGGGTGGCCTGGAATGCACTGGAGTGCAGACAGGGCGAGGGGCTGGGCAAGGCAGGGGGCTGTTGTTAGAAGCCACGCTCTTTCCCGAGGTGCCGTTACAATTCTCCTAGGAAACCAGATGTTTTTGAATGGAGAGAAGCTGATGACCTTCACTCCCTGCCTTAGAAAGCGGCCTCCAGTTTATGAAGGACACCATTTAGAGAAATTCAAGACTTCAGTGGACACCGTTCACGTCTTGTTGAAAACATTGCAAATGTTCCAAGTATATCATATACATAGAGATGCTGTTTGTCTTCTAGGAACACAAAAGCTGTTCGTTGCAAGAAATCTTTGAGTTTTATTTGTCAGTTAGCTCAGTCGTTGGTAGTGTTCTCATATAACTGAACACTGAAGCTTTGCCTCTTGCAGGAAATGACGCTGGGTAATGCGCGTGTGAAGGGTTCTCTGTGCTGGGCGAGGAGGAGGAGGGGTCGGTGACACTTACTGTACCTGCTACATGATGCAGAGGCGCTGGTGGTCAGGGAAATAGTGCAAGCGAGTGTATGATTTTAAGTAATGCGTTTTCCACCTCTAATATGTGCATAGATGCTAATAACTGGGAGCTGGGAGAAGAAAACGATTCATTTTATAAATGCCAGATTCTTGAGAAACTTAATTGTGTAAAAATGGTGTATATTTTCATAACAGAATAACTTCGTAGGTTTTAAAATACCAAACTATACACAAACATAGGTTTTAAAATACCAGACTAGACACAAACATTGTAAAAATTACAAACAAGATAGAAAGCAAACTCGGCCTATAAATCTCCTCCCAAGGAAAACCATCCTTAACATCGCGAAATGTCCTTTCATAATTTTTTCTCTCTTTATAGATAGACATCCCTCCTCCCTGAGATCATATTACATATATTCATTTCGATTTCCTTTTTTTTTTCAATTAATGCATTAAATGTCTTTCCATTTCAAGAAATACAGAAATATGTCTTTGTTTTTAACCATACATTTTATCTGTGCATAGTTGACCTCAAATTTATCGATGGCTATTTAGAGAATGTGCATTTTTATAATAGTATAAGAAGTTCTGTGCTAAATCTCCTCCTCTGCCGTTCTCTTTTTTCTCCTGAGAAGTCAAATTGCTAACACCAAGGGGCACACAATGAAATGCGCTCCCTTTTCCCGGCCCCCTCCGACCCCATGTGGGCGACAGTGCCAGCTCCCTTGTATTTTGACCAGCACGGAGCATTGTTCCTCATCAGTTTTGGTAAATCTCATTTAAAAACCATCTCTTTATGTTAATTCTTTTACATCTGAACACCTCGAAAAAGGGAAAAAGTCTCCCATAATCTCACGACGTGAAAGTCACGTGTGTCTGTGCATGTCTACGCGCGTGTTCACTTACAGAAGGAGGGAGGAGAGATGGTCGGGCGCATTTCGTCTCAGCCCCTCAGGTGTGTGGCTCTCTAGCAAACAGCACTGCTTTCCGGATGCGGTGAGGTCATGCCTACCTTGTCCGTCCGCGGCGTGCCTTTCTCCTGATACACCGCGAACTAATGTGTCCCTCTCAGAGCATGGATATGAGCTGGCATCTTTCTTTCAGTGGTTCATAGAATGCCCGCTGCCTGGCGCCCCACGCCGCGCTTACCCAGGGAGGAAATTTTGGATGTTTGATTCAACAATTCCACCCTCCAGGAATTTTTCCTACAAA